CTGACTGACTCAGTGACTGACTGACTCAGTGACAGACAGACTGACTGACTGACTCAGTGACTGACTGACTCAGTGACTGACTGACTGACAGACTAACAGACTGACTGACTCAGTGAGTTGACTGACTCAGTGACTGACAGACTCAGTGACTGACTGACTCAGTGACTGACTGACTCATTGACTGACTGACTCACTGACTGACTGACTCAGTGACTGACTGACTCAGTGACAGACAGACTGACTGACTGACTCAGTGACTGACTGACTCAGTGACTGACTGACTGACAGACTAACAGACTGACTGACTCAGTGAGTTGACTGACTCAGTGACTGACAGACTCATTGACTGACTGACTCAGTGACAGACAGACAGACAGACAAATCAAAACGCTGTTAAATATTTTGAAAAGTATAAAGTTACAAAAACCAAAGGCGTACTAAACAGACCTTGTAGACTTATGCTACCTTTAATGCCTTTCATTAATTTATAGGCATTTGCAGAAAACCTTGTTTATTCAACAAATTCAATAAAAATACATAGATTTAAATGAGCTATTAGCTGCAGCTTATTTTTATTTTCAAAAAGGATCCATCTCCATTATCACACTTATAGGAATATGAGTCATCACAGTGGGCTTCCTGGCTGTAAGAAACCAACATGGCTGAACTCCATTTACATCTCTATCATTTTTAGACAAACAACTGCACAGCTGCTGCCCTGTTTGTGTTGATGACTTCAGTTTGTTTTTGGCAGCTGCTGGTGGGAGTCTGTCATGTTATCATGGCCACACACTCAAGGCAGGGCAGGAAGTTAGCTTAAACTGACATGCTAATGCTGTAAATTAAAATGTCAGCTCGGTGTGGTCTTCGAGGAGCTCTATAAGCTTCACGTGCTGTTATTATAAACGAGCTATACCACCGGAAAATGTTGTTAAAAGGCTTTGAAATAGCCGCTAAAACGTCACGTAGCTCCAGCAGGAGATGATGAAACACAACGACGTCGCTCCGCTTCCGGCTCAAACACGAATATTATGGCCGACAATAAAACGTTCAAAATCCACCAAGTGACAACAAACAGCTCAACTTACAATATTACTTCTTTTCTGGCTGATAAACTCGGTCGGGGTGATGCAGAGCACCAGCTGAGCTCGATCCACCACTCCGCTGCTACACACACCAGGAAGCGCAGCTCGCGGGTGGAGTGACGTTCCTGAGAGCCAATCAGATCGCACCGCCTCGGTCTACTTGTCCAATGGGATTTCAAAGAGGCGGAGCCAAATTCTTCCCAAAGAGAAAGGAAGCAATTGGTGGCAGGCCGTTGTAACATATAATCAAACCACACATTTTTTTTTAAGAAAATATTATAGCAGCAAATTAATAAACAATACATAAAATAACCCAAAAATGAAAGGCCTAGTGGTACTTGACGGAATGCATACCATCCTTTTTCAAGTCAGTGTTGTAGACTAAGATCATCTTATAATGAGAAGACACAGAGCCATTTTAGTCAAATGATGCAATATTGCAAAATCTGGTGAAAGCTGTGATAGAGTATTTAAGATTACTCTCACACCAAAATTTAACCTAACATTTATAAGTTTGACAGAGTTATCAACATTTCGTGTTAGGTTAATTTGCTGCAGTGGTCATCTTTTTATTTGGGTTAACTCCAAAAGTAAATCAGTTACATTTGTTGGTATACTTTCTGAGTTTTACTTGATGTCAAAAGTCAGTGAAAACGTTTTCCGCAAAAACTCTGAGAATTGTGAGTCCACACCAAATATTAATGTAACATTTCTAAAACTGGTTCAGTTATAGCTATTTTTGTGTGTGTCAGCATCCAACTGGGTTGACTCAAAGTTGAATCAGTGCATCCGTTCATGACTTTGTGAGAGTTTAATTAAAATACGTCCAAAAATTCCTGAAATATTTTGCTAACAGACAGACTAATAAACAAAGATAAAATTACCTTAATGCAATAAACTGATGGTTTTGCATTTAATGCTTCATGCACACAGTCTAAAACAGTGTTTCCCGAAGTTGGGGTCGGGACTCAAAATTGGGTCCCAAAACATCAAGGTGGGGTCCTGAAAAGATTTTCTGAATTAATTACATTTTTGCCTTAGTTGTTATGGAGTGAAGTTAGTATATTTAAAATGGATAAATGTAGTATAAAAATATTGTTACTATGTCCATGTTTTGTTGACCTGATACAAATGTTTATCATCCAAAAATAGTTGGGGACACAGGTCTCTACTGTTATTTTGTGGGTCAAAAGCTGAAAAGTTTGGGAACCACTGC